TGCCTCCACCATGACCAGGGAGAGCCCTTGTCTAGCTGGGCAGTGGGCCTGGAACTGTGAGCAAAGAAACTGGTGTCTGCTATTCTGACTTGTGCTGTGTTCCAAGAAGCAGGATTTTACATATTTTCTTTTGAAATAAGCATAATTGCATCTCAGAAATACCTGGCTGTATTTCTCTCCGATCAGAAACAATTATTTTGGCAAATTAATGAGCCAAAAGAGAGAATGTTGTTGGAGGGCAACTATGTTAAGGGAGAAAACATGAAAGTTGCATGGGTTCCTTCAGGAGTGCAATGAGTTTTATTGATATATTTCAATATATCAATGACAGTGTTTGTGATCCCTGAAGGTAATGACTGGGACTGATGCCAGTGACACAGGAGCTCTCTTGCCTGGGGTAAAGGCTCAGGGCTGGTGGCCGGTGCAGGATTCTCACCTGCTCTCTGTAGCTCACATGTAGTCAGGGGAGTGGAGCATTGAGTAGCTCCATGTAGGTTATACAGGATTTCCAGAGCATGGGGGAAAACTTCAGAAAAGCTCTGCGGTCTGTCTGAATTGAATAGACAGCAGAAGACAAAATTGGACCTGCAACCAGATGAGCTTCTGGAATAGCTCAAAGAAAGATAATGTTTTAAATGTGGTACATAATCAAACTTGAAAACAAGTATTTTTTTCAAAAATAGTAGATAATCCATCTTGTGCTTTCTTGAGCTGCAGGAGAAAAATTGTTTTTGAACCATTAAGCAGGTTTCTTTGGCACAAGGATTCCTTCCAGAGGCTTAGAGATGATGCTACTATCCCATATAACCATTAGGCAAGCTGTGGAGGGAGAATCTTGCACTGACTCTGACAAAAGGTTGGCAGGATGGAACTTGTGGTTTCTGTATTGGCCTCCTTGAAGCTGCAGAACTAACGGGAAGAGCATCCTTCACCTTGCTGACCAGTGTGTCCTTCTGAATGATCTCTCGGGTCAGAACAACTGGAGGAAATGCTGAGGGGAATTCAGAGCTCATATAAATGGTCGGAGGTGCTGGGTCTGGCTTGTGCTCTCAGACTAGGTCAGGATGTGCCAAAAATTGAACGAATCCCCCGTATATGTGAAACAGACAATGCAGGATGAGGCCTTCAGGAATCCTCTGCTCTGCAAAAATAAACGCTTCACTAAGCAGTAGTAGTATGATAGCAAGTCTTGCTTTAACTTTGTGCTGAAGATCAAAATTAGTTGTGAGATAGTGTTTTACTTAGAGCAGAAAATGTCAGTATCACTATCTTTTGGTGCTGATTTATGTTCCAGCCCGGCTTTTTTTTTTTTATTTCACATTAGGTTGGCTCTGACCTCAGTGAATAAATATGAAGAAGCCAATTCCAGTTACCAAAAAGCACTCGATCTTGATCCAGAAAATGACTCTTACAAGTCAAATTTGAAAATAGCAGAACAGAAACTAAGAGACATGTCCAGTCCTGTAAGTTAGCTCTGCATCTGTTTATTTACAGTGGTTACAGCTTACAGGGATTTTGTAGGCAAATTAATTATCAAATGTAATTTGTTTCTAGACTAGGACTGGACTGAGTTTTGAGATGGCAAGCTTGATAAACAATCCTGCCTTCATTAGTATGGTGAGTGTATTTTAAGCTTTGCATTATATATTTTTACAACTGAATATTTGACAGCTCTTGTTCAAGAAGTGATTTAAATGCTTGCAATTGTTTCATTATACTATATTTAAACTTTTCTAGGTGATTTTATACCGACACTAGAAAGTGAAACTTACATTTCCTCTAATGCTTGTGTGATTTCCAGTTGGTTCTATCATACTTGTTATCAAAAATACATATAGAACATTTCAACCAGTGCTTCAGCATGCAAAAGCCCTACCTGAGAGCTGTGGTTTAGGATTCCAGCTAGCAGAGATGGCAAGCAGGGAAGAAGCAGCGAGTGAGTTCTGCAGGGGCATTAGGGATTGAGTGCACCGAACTCCATGTACCACTTTGCTGGCCACGTGACTTATTTAGTCAGTCTGCATCTGTCTAGAGTCAAAAATATATTTTTCCATATGAAGCTAACTATGGGGCAGGAATATTTGTACCCTTTCAGAAGATGTATGGCAAAGAAAGTAGAGCAGAGGGTATTCAGTTAGGAATGAACGTGGTGGGGTTTTTGCTGTGTGGGGGTTTTTTTGTGTTTTTTTTTAATTATTATTATTATTATTTTTTATTATTGACTTACTCTCTGACCTTGAGAAAATTACTTCTGGCCACCACTTGGTGCCCAAACCTAGTTGTTGACAATGATGGAGAGAATAAAAAGATTAATTTGGCATTTTATATTCAGCTGTAGACTAGAGAAGACAGCCAATTCACCTTGGAGAGGTTTCATGGAAATGTCTTTTGATCAGTAAAACGAATAGTATGTGTATCTATTCTTGCATTTGATAAGATCAGTGAGTGAGCAGGTAGTTGATTGTGCTTGTTAGTCTTGTGTTCGTGCAGTCATTGATTTCTGTAGGAATTACCATACTAACTTCAAAGCATTGCCTGCTTTATTCTGTAGTAACTGTCCATATGCATTCTTACACTATGGCAAATTAAGTGTAATTTTTGAGGTATCTTAATAATGGCAAATGTATGTATATAAAGTAAGAAAATTTTAACTTTTTAAAAAATTTTTAAATAAAATTTCTAAATTTTAAATTTACTATGGAAGATTTGTGTTACCATAAAACCATGATACAAAATAAATCCACAACCTGGTTTACTCTGCTGTATTTTGTTTATGCAGCCACAGCCTCAACAGTTTGTACCTCCTCTAGTAACAATAGCTGTAAAACTAATTTGTATAATCTGGGAACCAATAAAATACAGACCTTTCCTAATAAAGCTCAATAGCAAACATAAAACCCTAGAAGTCTTAAATTTTTATTTTTTAGATTTTAGGGTACTGGGTTTTTGTGTTTCATGTCTCAGTGTTCTATTTTTCATGTCTAACTCCAAGTAACTGTAATAAATTGAAATCTGTATTTGTTGTCTAAAATATAACAAACTGTGTTGGCTTCATAGCCTAGAAATACTTTTCTGTAATTTTTTTTTTTTTTTTTTTTTTTTTGCTCAGGATCGTATGTCTCTATGCATATAAGTTTAGTTTATAATTTGTAACAAAACATAGGATACAGTTTGTGGGGTTTTTTTCTCATCTTTCTCAATGATACCTAAGTAGTAAATGTATTATAATTTCAGCTATATGTTGTCTATTTTAGGCAGCAAGCCTAATGCAGAATCCTCAAGTTCAACAACTGTAAGTATTAATACAGATTATAATTGAAACAAATGTCTGTAGGGGGTTGAATTAACAGAGAAAAAGTGGATAGTGCTGATATTCTGAAAATGTACTTCTGTGTACTGTAAGTTAAACTACTGCAGTTTCTTCCTCTTGCACCTCATTTCCTCCTAGCAGTTTATTTACTCTAAGGGTCCCCACCTACCCCAATGCCAACCTCGTGCTCCCTGTTGCAGGATGTCTGGGATGATGTCAAATGCCATTGGTTGCCCAGCTGCAAGTGTTGGTGGTCTCTCGAATTTGTCCAGCCTGATCCATGCGTAAGTGTTATCAATCACATAATTTTAAATACGATTTTAGAAGCAGTATTTTACATGACCTATTTAGAAGAGTAGGTATCAAAGTAGTTATACTGTGGACTCTCCTCAATGTATGCGTGATTATTATTATTATTAAAACTGAGAAGTCCAAGGCTGGCTTACTGCTGCCTTAAGTTGTTTGCTTGCTTAGTGCACTTGAATGCCAGTGGTGGAACTGTGTGCTCAGTTTCACTTTACGGATTTCACGCACTGTTTACTTTCTAAATGCCAATTACTAAAAATGCTACTTTAAACCTTTATGTGCTTCTACATCTTGCTTTCAAATTGCACTGATCAAAGTACAGTAGTATCCCAGATAGATACTATTTTGAAAAGCTACAAATTAGCGAGCACAGATTGCAACACATTCCCAAGATCCTGCCTGCCTGACAGTGCTCTGGCATCCTACCCTGTGAGGGGGAGGGCTGCTCCTTCAGGGAACTTGCTATCTAATAAGGAGAGGAGTGGCTTTTACAACAGCCAGGACCCAGCTCATTTAGAATATGATAAGGATAATCCATCTGGAACACAGTGTGCAAAAACATATGCAATTTGCTTATGTGGCAAGTTCTCTTAACAGTATTCAGTTTCACTTTATTCCAGAATTCTAGCCTGTTTCAAACCAGGTTTTAAGTTTTGCCCTTCCAGGAACATGATAATTTATAGTTTGCACTATGGGAAGGAGTCCACTCCCTGCAAAACAAGGACTGTTTTGACAGAAGTCGTTTGCTATGCATTTCTCTAAAAATGGTGGCTTTCCTTCAACCTGTGTTGTTTTTCACAGGTGTCTTGGTAACCTCTGCTGCTTGAGCAAATGCAGAAGTTGCACAGGGTCCCATGCCAGGCTAGTCAGGGAGTAATGGATTCTACTTGCTTGCTTTTCCTAATAAACTAGCGTCATGTTTACATAACATGTTTACATAATCTTACCTATGTTTACATAATCTTACCTATTCATTTTATTCTAAGATGCAGTAGTTGAAGAGGTGGATCTGTCCTTATTCCATGCATTCTTATGAGACATGCAGGTGGGCTGCTTTTTACTCAGGACCATCTGCCACAAGTACAAGTTGGCAGCAGCAACTGTACTTCTGCCAAAGTTTATAAAAGGTTGCCCTTCAGGTTCAGGAGACTTTTCCTTAAACAAATACAACAAATTTCAAGAGTCCATTGAAAATAAGGGAGCAAGTAACTGGAGCAATTTTGCTAATATTAGTCTAAGCCAATAGGTTAAAACTTCTTCCTCAGTGTTATCTACTACAAGTAGTAGTCTGAAGGAATGAAGACCATATGATGATCTTATTTGACTAGATAAAGCCCAAGTACCTCAAATGTCATCTTAGTATATAGTATTAATTTTTAGTCTTAGCTTTCTTATGATGCAGCTTTCAGTTGTATCAGGATATCCTGTTTTCTTACAAATGCTGCTTGTCAGGATTTTTTTTTTTTTTCTCCCCACACGTGTTTTTACATAAAACTGTTCAACACAGGGGGCAGCAGTTTGCACAGCAGATACAGCAGCAGAATCCTGAGCTCATAGAGCAACTGAGAAATCATGTGCGGAGCAGATCATTCAGTGGCAGCACTGAGGAGCATTCCTGACTTAAAGGAGGCCTATAAACTGGCACGGTATATAACCCCCAAATGCATACCATAGTTAGTAGCAAAAGCACCGTTATAACTCTTCTGCTTGAATAGAAGACAGAAAATTCTTTGTGTGTGTTCTGCAAACAAGAATAAATCTGTTAAACAGATCTATTGCACATAACTTGGAACATACCGTTTATGTATAGTTACTCCTCTGAAAATTAACACTACATAGACTGAGTGGTTTATTAAAATCCCAAAATTCCTGTCATTTTCAGTATGTGCATTAGAGTGATCTCTGGAGAGTTTGAGTGAAGGAGTTGTGTGGTGGACTGATAAGCTTGCGTAATAGCTTAATTCTAAGATCCTAGTGTAAAAAGCATATTATGCTGATATGGCTGTATTCCCTCCCAAATGGGCTATTGAAACAATAGATTAATCAGCCCTCTAATGTACGTCTGATATGCCTGATGTAAAGAAGTGTAAGTCAGCGTTGGAGCATAGAGTGTAAAAATTAATGCTTGGAGAACTTGTGTGGTGGGGCTGAAAGAAGCAACATGAAACACTTTTCAACCTCATTTGGCAGGAGGGAGATGATTGCATTCAGGGGAGCACCACAAACTGTGTGGAGAGGAAAACGACCTTAAGGAGGATAATGCACAGAATCCAAAAGGGAACTGAT